TTGTCGCGGCCCCTCCGCGGCCCGTTAGGCCCCTTCGCGGCCCGCCCCGGCCCTTCCTCGTCCCCGTCCCGGCCCTGTCCCGGACCTGCCCCGACCCTGGCCCTGCCCCAACCCTGTTGCGGCCCGTTAGGTCCGTCGCGGCCCCCCTTCGCGGCCCGTTAGGCCCCTTCGCGGCCCGCCCAGGCCCTTCCCCGGCCCCTTTCTCGGCCCGTTAGGCCCCGTCGCGGCTTGTCGCGGCCCCTTCGCGGCCCGTTAGGCCCCTTCGCGGCCCGCCCCGGCCCTTCCTCGGCCCCGTCCCGGCCCTGTCCCGGACCTGCCCCGACCCCGGCCCTGCCCCGACCCTGTTGCGGCTCGTTAGGTCCGTCGCAGCCCCCCTTCGCGGCCCGTTAGGCCCCTTCGCGGCCCGCCCAGGCCCTTCCCCGGCCCCTTTCTCGGCCCGTTAGGCCCCGTCGCGGCTTGTCGCGGCCCCTTCGCGGCTCGTTAGGCCCCTTCGCGGCCCGCCCAGGCCCTTCCCCGGCCCCTTTCTCGGCCCGTTAGGCCCCGTCGCGGCTTGTCGCGGCCCCTTCGCGGCCCGTTAGGCCCCTTCGCGGCCCGCCCCGGCCCTTCCTCGGCCCCGTCCCGGCCCTGTCCCGGACCTGCCCCGACCCCGGCCCTGCCCCGACCCTGTCGCGGCCCGTTAGGTCCGTCGCGGCCCCCCTTCGCGGCCCGTTAGGCCCCTTCGCGGCCCGCCCAGGCCCTTCCGCGGCCCCTTTCTCGGCCCGTTAGGCCCCGTCGCGGCTTGTCGCGGCCCCTTCGCGGCCCGTTAGGCCCCTTCGCGGCCCGCCCCGGCCCTTCCTCGGCCCCGTCCCGGCCCTGTCCCGGACCTGCCCCGACCCCGGCCCTGCCCCGACCCTGTCGCGGCCCGTTAGGTCCGTCGCGGCCCCCCTTCGCGGCCCGTTAGGCCCCTTCGCGGCCCGCCCAGGCCCTTCCCCGGCCCCTTTCTCGGCTCGTTAGGTCCCGTCGTGGCTTGTCGCGGCCCCTTCGCGGCCCGTTAGGCCCCTTCGCGGCCCGCCCAGGCCCTTCCCCGGCCCCTTTCTCGGCCCGTTAGGCCCTGTCGCGGCTTGTCGCGGCCCCTTCGCGGCCCGTTAGGCCCCTTCGCGGCCCGCCCCGGCCCTTCCTCGGCCCCGTCCCGGCCCTGTCCCGGACCTGCCCCTACCCCGGCCCTGCCCCGACCCTGTCGCGGCCCGTTAGGTCCGTCGCGGCCCCCCTTCGCGGCCCGTTAGGCCCCTTCGCGGCCCGCCCAGGCCCTTCCCCGGCCCCTTTCTCGGCCCGTTAGGCCCCGTCGCGGCTTGTTGCGGCCCCTTCGCGGCCCGTTCGGCCCCTTCGCGGCCCGCCCCGGCCCTTCCTCGGCCCCGTCCCGGCCCTGTCCCGGACCTGCCCCGACCGAGGCCCCGCCCTCATGCCGGTCGTGGCGCACCAGGGGCCCGTGCACCGCCCCCCCCCCTTTTCCCGTCGCCTTGCGTGGCGAGCGGGGGGGGGGGGGGGCTGGGGGGGCGCGCGTCGCCCCTTCTTCCGCCTGCTCTGGCGCCCTGGGAGGCCGCGCGTCGGCCCCGTACTCCTCCCCCCCCCCCCTCAGGTCGCCTCAACAGGCGACGGGAGGGGCGACCTTGGGGGGGGGGCACGCGTCGGAGCAGCCGCCCCTGGTGCAGCCGCCCCTGGAGCAGCCGCCCCTGGTGCAGCCGCCCCTGGTGCAGCCGCCCCTGGAGCAGCCGCCCCTGGTGCAGCAGCCCCTGGAGCAGCCACCCCTGGTGCAGCCGCCCCTGGTGCAGCCGCCCCTGGAGCAGCCGCCCCTGGTGCAGCCGCCCCTGGAGCAGCCGCCCCTGGTGCAGCCGCTCCTGGACCTCAGCAGCCGCCCCTGGCCCCTGGCCCCTGGAGCAGCCGCCCCTGGACCCCGCGCCGCCGCCCCTGGACCCGGTGCCGCCGCCTCCCTGTGCTGCCCATTGCCGCCCGTTGCTGCCCGTTGCTGCTCTCCCCCCCCCCCCCTTCCCCTTCTTCGTCTCCCTGCTGCGCGTGCAGCCGTGGAACGGAGTGTATGGGGGTGGCGGGTATGGGGTGATGGGTGGTATGGTTCCCTTCCCCTCCTCCTCCTTTGTCTCCCACTGCTGCAGCTGCCGCTGAGGGGGGTGGATGTGTGGGAGTCAAAGGCGTGGTGCTAGGGGGTGGGGTGTGAGTGAACCTAGGGGTGCAGCAGGGGGTGTGTGAATGGGGGGTGCGGTAGTAGAGGGAGGTTGGGTGGAGGTAGCTGTCGTGTTTCTAGCAGTGCCAGTAGTCCGGAGGTGCGCTTCCGGTAGCCCAGTGATGCCGCTGCGCCAGTCGCCCGTGGGTCCGTTGCTCCTGCCGCTCGTCTTAGCCTCGGAGCCAGTTACTCCTGTAGTCCGGAGGTGCGCCTCCGGTAGCCACAGTGCGCGCCGCTCCTGTTGCCCGTGTGTCTGCAGCTTCCGCCATTGCCTCCTCTCTCCTTTCCTATTAGTCCAGCCTCCTCCTCCTCACTTGCCCTCTGTGATAGCCTCTAGCTTTGCTTACATTTGTGAACTTTAAACTGTTGCTTCTTGTACTTGTGCTCAGAATGTGTGGTGACATTGTGATCCACCCTGAGCTTGCTTTGCTTTGCTTGTTGTGCTGATCATACCCCACTTTGAATATGGGGGTGTGTCAGAATATTATGTTTCTCTAGTCTGCAGTGGGGTACTTTGTAGTGAGTACAACCCTGTTAGGGTTTTCTATATGTATCCCAATGTTTGCTAGTGAATTCATCCTCATTCCTTTCGTCAATTATTCTCACACATATGTACTACGCAGCGAAGAGTTTCTTGGAGGCCCTTATAGCCGCCCGAATGCCCATCGCAGAGGATCTTGCGATGTACTACGTCCATTGTAAGGACCATCCCTTCGACGGGATCAGCGTTTGTGACTGCGAGCGTCACCCTTCCATCCAGATGTCGCGTTTGTTCAAGGACGAAGATTTCCAAAAATGGGCGCTCGACGTGTACACGCTCGACAAGTACGGCATCGAGATGCGGACCAACCCCACGATGTTGAGAGCGACGGTAAGATGGTCCTTCCAAAACTATAAGCGACGACTTTGCATCAACCCACTGACTGCAGGACGTATCCTCTCACCTCAACACCAAGCACCTCGTCACGCAACTTCGGGCCGAGATAAACCTCCACAAGGAGGAGGGAGGGAAAAAGGAAATCCATATCAACCACCTCGAGAAGCAGGTCGAGTCATTGGAGCGGGAGAAGAGCTCGATGAAATCTGAGTTGGAGGCGAAGACAGAGGCGTTCGCGCAACTTCAGAAAGCGTTCATCGCATTGAAGAATACCGCGGCGACTAGCGCAGCTGCAAATGTGGGGTAGAGCGAGAGCGTGCCGTAGACGGCGACCGAGGAAGCCACCCCGGATCCACAGCAAGCCCAACAAGCAACGCCCTCTCGACAGAGCGTGGGCAGCCAGCTCGACCAGACGTTCTTCGACGCGGTGGTGTGGCCGTGGTGCAATTGCGAGACCATGCGGAAGGCGTGGTCGTACTGGGACGGGGCAAGCCCATTGAACAACGGGCATAGTATTCGACAGGCTTACAAGAGGGGCTTCGCCGTCAAGTTCACACCGACTCCACCCCCCGTAACCCCCGAAAAGGAGGCCCAGCCAAAAGAAAATCCACCAACCGCAAAAGCTATCGCGACAAAAATGCGGAAAATGGAGGCTGTCATGAAGGTCGTCGAGCATTTCCGGATCGTCGACAGCAGCGTGGCTACGTCGACGGTCATCGAAAAGCTGGAGTCAATTGTGAAGGGCCACTCGATCAACATGCTTTCGGAGGGCATCGTTCTCAAGGAGGATTCTAGGAGGCAGCTCACGAAAAAGAGCAAAGTCGAGTCTGCAGAGGAAAACCGGAAGGACAAACAACGCTTCAGAATCACTCTGGAGCTCATTCGCGTCGAGCTCCGAACCGCAGAATGGGCGGAGAAGGTGTTCGGCAAGGAGAAATGGAAAGAGTTCACAGCAACAACTGGCGCGCGGCCTAGTTCGACGGGCAACCGTGACGAGGGGGGATCCTAGTGTAGGTTGTTCAGGGTTTACATGGCATCTTCCCCTAATGCATGTTGTGACACCATCTCGACAAGATGAACCAATTGAGCATTCTCGAAAACATAAATTCAAGGAGCATCTGTCGATCAACCTATCGAAACAACAAACACATCTGTCGAATGATGCAAAAACCCCCACGCAATGCGCCCACCTATACTACTCCCCTTGCTCGCCTGCTTCCGCCTCAGTTGCCTCCTCGTCGCCCAGCTTCGCCTTGCTCTTTTCATCTGGCATAGCCAGACTCCCATAGCCCGCGTCCTCCAGCAAACGGGCAGCAAATCGACAGCAGCACCATTGAGTACAGACTTGTGCAGCCATGCGCACCATCTGCAACAGGGTGGCGTCAGTCGAGCCGAGGCCTTCGACAGCCGACGAATATAGCAGATCGGGCCACTGCTTGGCTGGGAACGTCTTGCCGACGTGCAAAAGTACGGACAGCAGCGCAGCCATGGCAGCCGCACTAGCCCGTGTCGCCATCTCCGGGGGCGTAGAGCGCTGCGTTTGCGGCAGCTAGGGCATCCTTCTTAATGTCTTCCCTCTACAACTTTCTGTAGGCCGCCCACAAGCTTGCCACAGTTACTGCAACGGCCATCATGTGCGCAGTCCCGTGCATGTTCTTCGGGACCGGATAAATCACGTTCCCGTGCCTCCGGCCAAGCGTCGCAACCTTCCCAATCATCGCGCACAGCGCAATTCTCCAGTCGGTTCCGGCTCTCACTTCCGTATTTGTCGTCGCCAGTAGTGACCGGAACTGCAAATCGAAACAAATGTGTTAGTCAGACGGCACAAATTCGACAGGAAATCCGACAGCACTTCGACGGAAAGAACAAAACCGCTACGTCAGTCAAACTACAGGACTTCGACAGATCTCACTCGTCGAAACGACATTCCCCTTGTTCTTGCGTCACGCTCCAAACGCCGGTGGGCATACGCGCTGCTGCATCGAGATAGACCTTCCAGTCCTTCTCATCCTGCGCCGTGAACCCCTCGTACTCCTTGAGGTTTATGTCGGGGAAGTACACGCGCCAGCAGATGGCCGTACAAAACTTCTGGTCCGCCTCCGTCTCAAAAGTGCCCAGGAACCGCTTCCTCGAGCCTACGGTCTGCTCGGAAACCGGCTTCCCCTTGCGCGACATCATGCCCGGTCCTTTGAAGGGAGCTTTGCAGCCTCTCGTCTTGCCTTGGTCATCCGGCGGAGGAAGTGGGGCGTAGCCGATCACCTTGGGCTTCTTCGACTTTTCGTGTCGAGCAGCAACGACGGTAGACGCCTTCTCGGCGTCACTGCTCTCTGTTGCCTCTGCAGCCCGCTTCGTCGGCTTCGTCATGTCAGAATATCATGTTTCTCTAGTCTGCAGTGGGGTACTCCATAGTGAGTACAACCCTGTTAGGGTTTCCTATATGTACTCAATTGCTTTCTAGTGCATTCATTCCTTCCTATTATTCTCACATGGTATAGAGCTATTTCGATCCTTCCTAAGGGCCCACCACGTTTACACTGGAATTTTTTTTTTCTTACCTGCCCGACGCGCGCGTCGCGCCTGCGCTTTGAGGCCCGTAGCGGCCCCTGCGCCTGCCCTTAGAGCCAGCGCCGGCCCCCAACGCAGCCGCGTCGCGGCCTAGCCAAGCGCTGCGCAGCCCCGTAAGGCCCCGTAAGGCCCCGTCAGGCCCCGTTTACGGCCCCGTAAGGCCCCGTAAGGCCCCGTAAGGCCACGTCGCGGCCCCTTTAACGGCCATGTCGCGGCCCCTCGTCGCGGCCCCCCGTCGCGGCCCTTCGCGGCCCCCTTTAGCGACCCGTCGCGGCCCTTCGCGGCCCCCCTTTCGCGACCCTTCGCGGCCCCTCGTAAGGCCCCTTCGCGGCCCCTCGTAAGGCCCTTAGCGGTCCCTCGTAAGGCCCCTTCGCGGCCCTGTGCGCCCCGCGCGCCCTGCTGCCCTGCTGCCCTGTGCGCCCCGTGCGCCTTGCTGCCCTCTGCACGCGCCATGCACAGCACCCCCCCCCCCCCCCCCCCCCCCCTCCTTCTCCTCCATCCCCTGCCGCAGGTGCAGCAGTGGGGGAGGGTATGGGGGTGGCGGGTGTGTGGCATCCCCTGCTCCTCCTCCTACTCCGTCTCCCACTGCTGCAGCTGCCGCTGAGGGGGGTGGGTGTGTGTGAGTCGACGGAGTGGTGCTAGGGGGTGGAGTGTGAGTGAACCTAGGGGTGCAGCAGGGGGTGTGTGAATGGGGGGTGCGGCAGTAGAGGGAGGTTGGGTGGAGGTAGCCGTCGTGTTGCTAGCAGTGCCAGTAGTCCGGAGGTGCGCTTCCGGTAGCCCAGTGATGCCGCTGCGCCAGTCGCCCGTGGGTCCGTTGCTCCTGCCGCTCGTCTTAGCCGCGGAGCCAGTTACTCCTGTAGTCCGGAGGTGCGCCTCCGGTAGCCACAGTGCGCGCCGCTCCTGTTGCCTGTGTGTCTGCAGCTTCCGCCGTTGCCTCCTCTCTCCTCTCCTATTAGTCCAGCCTCCTCCTCCTCAATTGCCCTCTGTGATAGCCTCTAGCTTTGCTTATTTATTGTGAACTTTAAACTGTTACTTCTTGTACTTGTGCTCAGAATGTGTGGTGACATTGTGATCCACCCTGAGCTTGCTTTGCTTTGCTTCTTGTGCTGATCATACCCCACTTTGACTATGGGGGTGTGTCAGAATATTATGTTTCTCTAGTCTGCAGTGGGGTACTTTGTAGTGAGTACAACCCTGTTAGGGTTTCCTATATGTACTCAATTGCTTTCTAGTGCATTCATTCCTTCCTATTATTCTCACACGTCACAGCCTGCCTTTTCTTCGACGCAGAAGGGGACCTTGGCCTCGGACCAGGAGGGGAACCCGGTCCGCTGAGGGAGACGTCACCTAAAACGGACGACGGCCTCTTTCCCACAGGCTCGACAGGACGGCCAGCGATGCCGAGCTGCGCAGCGGAGTCGGCCTTTGTCTTCGACAGCAACCCAGCAACGACGGCGACCTGGCTGGGATCACCCCGTTTCTCCCCCGCTCCTTTCCCCGCAGCGCCGCTGGACGGGGTAGGGGCACCTCGCTTTTCCACGGCTCCTTTCCCGGCTGAGGCGACCTGGCCGATTGGGGCACCACTTTTCTCCCCCACAACCACTCCTTTCCCACCCTTTTTCCCGAGGCCCTGCAGCATGTCCCGCAGCAGAGCAAAAGCATCAGGCGGAGGCTTCGGTGCCACTTCGGAGGTCTGCTGACGGGGCGATTGGTCGAGTACGATGACATCCTTGTCCTCGACGAAATTGCCGACGGTCTGAAGGGCACGCGACGGTGGGGATGCTACCGGGCTGCCGACATGTCCTCCCACCGAAGAAGGAGGAACCGAGTGCTCATGAACTCGACGCTCAACCCCGCTGTGAACACCAGCCACCCCCTCCTCCTGACATGACCTCGTCGACGGGCCCGTCGAGCCCCGAAACCCTCTCGCCATCGCTTCGGTGAGGACTTCCAATATGCCAGCTTCAGCTTATTGGTAGCTTTCTCTCACAACGTCCTTCAGCTCCTTCATGCTCTCGGGCGGGAGGGTGGAGTAGAACAAGTCCTCCTTGACGGCTTTCTCAATACCCTTCACGACCGAAGCAACCAGCCGCTCCTCGACAAGCTTGAGCTGCTTCTCGACGGCGTCCTCGCTCGCTTTTGTGATGGCGGCTGCCACCCCCTCGATGATTTTCCCGCTCATCTTGTCGAGCTTCGAGCGTGCCCCTTCCAACAGCTTCCTCTCCTCCATGACACCGTTTACGGCATCGCCGCACTGCTTTAGCGTGCTCTTTGACAACTCCGAAATCATATTCCAGGCCGTCCGAAAATCCCCAGCAAGCTTGTTGAAAACAGCGGCTTGCTCACTGTGCTTCGCAAATACTTCGGCGACGAGCTTCTTCTGTGATGCCTCGACCTCCGCGACCCTCTACAGTAGCTCAACAACCTGGCCTCCGGATGCAATGGCCGACGTCGTATGGCCTGCCGTCGAAGGGCCCGCCTGTCTGCTGCCACTGGCCGTGCGGTGTCTCCTTCTTACTGCGACGAGTCGCTCCTGCGCAGCCTCCCCCTCCTGCTCCTGCCCTCCCGCTCCACCCTCCTGCGCAGCCACTACGCCCTCCTGCTGCTGCCCTCCGACCCCACCCTCCTGCGCAGCCGCCCCGCCCTCCTGCTGCTGCACTCCTATCCCAAAATCCTGCCCAGCCGCTCCGCCCTCCTGCTCTTCGACATCCTAATCGTCCCCCGTCGCCTGCTGCTCGTCCACCCGCTCCCCGAGCGCCACTCTGTGCTTCTCCGTACGCTCCGTCCAGCCTGGATGTAACCCTAAACCCTCGCCGTCATGCTCGATCGACTCATCGCTCGAGCTCGAGCCGGAGCTCGATTCCGAGCTCGAGCCCTCCTGCTCGTCCGCATTGCCGCCCGGGCCGCTCACCCCGTGCTGAGCTTGTCTCAATGTATCCTCCTCGATCTCCTCCTCCTCCTCGTAGCTGTACTCAAACACGACGCGTGGCGCCCCCTCGCCTCCTCCCTCGTGTCCGGCACCCCCTCCCACTCCTACTCCCTCCGCTGCCTCGTCCATCCTTTTCCAAAACAGTTTGACCATGAACGACGGAAGCAAACCCGGGCCAGGGCTCGTTCTCCCGAGCATCACGAGGTCGCCCTGTCAAGACTGCAGGATGAAATTGTCCCAGTTCGACAGAATCCGGCGCACCCCACGAACGACACGAGCTGCCGCGTCGGGTTCACTGGGGCGTCAGGGCCGTCGTCGTCTGCTACGGGTATAAAACACACATAAGCGACATAACAAACATGCTCGACGAAAACATGCACGGGTAAGGGTAAGGGTTGGCTTACCAGATGATCGAAACTCGTGTTCATGTCCAGACGCAGGTCGATGAGGCTAAGCACCTCCTGCTCATGCTCGGTCACAACCCGCTGGGTCATCGCGTACTCGGTGCGATGCTGCTTCTTCATCCAACTGCAAAGCAACGGACAGGAGAGTAAGAGATTGTCAAGAACGGCAAGTCGACAGCAGGGTGGCAAATCGGTCACTCACACGAGAACTTCATGCGCCAGCGAAGATGGCAGAAACATGTCTTTCGAATCAAAGTGCATCATTCGAGTTTGACACCCATGGTGCCTCGGAGCCAGCAGATTGTCGGGGCGCGATACCACAAACAAGCTCGAGTGGGAGAACGGCGCCACAGTCAGGCTGCATGCAGAGCGAATGCACGTGAGCACGGGTTTAGAACTAAACACGGAGCACGCAAGGCGACGGGATAGTGTCGAACTCACGTGGTCCGCAGCAGAACGAGAATCACTTGCTTGCAGAGCAGGCCGTCGAGGTGGTTGTTCGCAAAAGCGACCGGTGTGGGACGCGCCATCTCTTCATGCGCACGCGTCGAAGTCACGATCGACAGCTTGGCGAGCTGCTCGACGGACAGCAACTCCCTCGAAAACAGGCTGCACTGAAAGCTAAGGCACAGTCAGCGACAGGTAAACATGGCAAACCTAAAGTGCTCGACAGGAAACGTACACAACGCCCGCGTTCATCATCGTCTCGTCGAGCTCCGCCTTCGGCGCCTCGCTAAGCGCATTCAGCTGGTCTTTGAACACCTCCACATCGATCCCGCCTGCGGTTAGGATGAGGCCGCGTCGAACCGTCGGCTCGTTCACGACGGGTAGGGAGGCGGGGCCCGTAGCCATGACAGGCTTAGCAGTAGGGAGGGCGGGAGCGCAGGGAAGTTGGGAACTAGGGAGTAGGGAAGAAAAACTCGGAGACTACAACGAAATGAGAACGCACTCAGGGTATTTGCTGTTTGCCATCCCCTCCACCGAGATAGACTCGGGTGCAAGGGCGACGAGGCAGGGCGGGTTCCGCGACGGCGGTAGGAGGAGCTTATGGCAGAGGGCGGTGGGGCCCTATATTAGTGGTTGGTTGCATGAGGTGGGGAGCCCTGCATGCAGCTGAAAGGCCCCTCTCAAGGAGCGGGAGGGGGCGTTCGACACATCACCACGGTCGAGCGCCAACCGAAACGGGCCCCGTCGAGGGTGAGAGTGGTGGAGCGCGGCGCAGATGGGCGTCGCTTCCGTCCGCTCGCGAGAATTCGCGGACGGGTTCCGTCGACGAGGCGACGCCCGGCGAGGGTTCCATGGGTTACCAGACAGAACCCGTCTACGAACCAAGGTTGGGGTTCGGTTCGGTTTGGGGGGACCGCTGGCAGCTGGCGCCAACTGGGGGTGCCCGTTTCCGGGCGGGGGGGGGGGGGGGGGGGGGGGGGGGGGGGGGGGTTCGGCTCCCGCCCCTCGCGTGCTTCGCTAGGCGACTGCGGGAAAACGGAAATCCCTCCAGGGAAATTCCGTAGGGGCAAAAGCGGGTTCCCGGAGGGATTCGCCTGATATCTTCCCAAAATGTTGTATAGAATGTACAGAGGCGCGCATCTTTCACCTCATCATATACTAACACATTTTCTAACAGACACAATTTTTTCCCGCCCGCCTGCCAATAGATCATGAAAGCGAGGCGACAAGTTCATAGAGATGTGTTGCGTCCAGCCTAGGGATCCTCATACAACTCTCACACTGGCTCCATTTCATTTCTGCAAGTTTCCCTCCACGCCAGAAGCTTTGTGTTCCTTCCTATTGTCACGACTTAGTGTGACGATTCCCACTGCTATCTTCCTAGTCTTCGAGCCTTCTTGTTAGTCCCCATGGCGTCTTATCAACTAGCCAGAATGGCTGCTGCGTCACCGTTTGAACTGCTGTCAGACGAACTTCTTTCCATTATCCTCCATCTCGTCGGTCAATCCAACAGCCAGTTCCAGCACGCGCTTGTGTGCAAGGAATGGTATCGCATCGCCCGTCGCGTGCACGACCATATTCAGATTTGCGAAAAGCGTCGCATGCATCCTAGCGAGCTGCTCGCGCACCTCTCGTCATTCCCAAGGCTCCTAAAGCTTGTCCTCGCTTTCGGCAGCATCACATCTGTCCCTGACTCCCTCCTCTCGCGGATTGCCGACACGTGTCCAGATATGACGGACCTCCACGTCGATTGGATGGATCGACAGTTCAGACAGGGGGGATTCACTGAGAACGGACTTTCGTATCTTTTTTAGAAATGCACACGGCTGGAAGGTCTTCATCTTGATTGTCAGTCGAATCTGACTGCCATTCCTTCGTCAATCAGCGGCCTTGCGTCACTCAAGAGCCTGCCCATCACCGACAGGGGGAGAATCGCTCGCCTCCCAGACGTGTTCACCTCGTTACAGTGTCTCGTCCATCTTGTGATTGAAATGCACTGCCTGGATGAGCTGCCTCAAAACTTCGGCAATCTGAAACTGCTCAACTCACTCCAGCTAAACAATTGCATGCGCCTCAGCTCCATTCCCGATTCTTTCGGACAGCTTACCAACCTGACGCATCTTTCCATCAGCGGCTGTAGGACAAGGCTTCAGCTGCCCGAATCTATCTCCAACCTTTCGTCCCTGTTGATCCTCGAAAGTTCCTACTGCCAAGACCTTTCACCTCTGCCCGAGAGTTTTGGAAACCTGCTGGCGCTTGAAACCCTATGTCTGGAGGAGGTGGGGGGGATTAACAACCTCCCCGCGAGTATCGGGCAGCTTCAACGGTTGCGCCTCCTCTCTGTAATCAACCGCGACGAATCTATGTCTTTTCCTACTATTGAAATATTGTGAACGAGAATGCATGAACTAGCAAAGAGTTGGGTACAAGTACTAACCCTAATTGGGTTGTACCCCTTATGGGCTTGTCATAAGATTATAGCTTTTACATTTGTGTAGGCTATAGTGGGGTAGCCCATATGGGGTACAACCCAATTAGGGTTAGTATTTGTACCCAACTCTTTGCTAGTTCATTCATTCTCGTTCATTCTCTTGACATGGTTTTAGAGCAGGTCCTCCGCTAGGACCGGTTTTCCATGGGCCCACCACTTCGCTGCCCCACTAGCAGCCCCTAGCGACCCTCGTGTCGCCCCTCTGCTCATCGCCCCTCGGCTCGTAGGCCCTAGCCAATGCGCCCCTAAGCTCGTCGCCCCTAGCCCTGACGCTCGGCCCCCGTCGATCCCTAGCCCCGCGCCCGGCCCCGTCGACCCCTAGCCCACGCCACGGCCCCGTCGACCCCTAGCCCCGCGCCTGGCCCCCATCGACCCCTAGCCCCGCGCCCGGCCCCATCGATCTCTAGCCCGCGCCCGGCCCGTCGACCCCTAGCCCACGCTCGGCCCCCCGTCGACCCCTAGCCCCGCGCCCGGCCCCGTCGCCCCTAGCCCATGCTCGACCCCCGTCGCCCCTAGCCCCGCGCCCGGCTCGTCGCCCCTAGCCCCGCGCCCGGCCCCGTCGACCCCTAGCCCGTGCCCGGCCCCGTCGACCCTTAGCCCACGCCCGGCCCGTCGACCCCTAGCCCGCGCTCGGCCCCCCCATCGACCCCTAGCCCTCGCGCCTGGCCCCGTCGCCCCTAGCCCTCGCGCTCGGCCCCCGTTGACCCCTAGCCCCGCGCTCGGCCCCCCCGTCGACCCCTAGCCCGCGCCACGGCCCCATCGACCCCTAGCCCCGTGCCTGGCCCCCGTCGACCCCTAGCCCCGCGCCCGGCCCCGTCGACACCTAGCCCGCGCCCGGCCCGTCAACCCCTAGCCCGCGCTCGGCCCCCTGTCGACCCCTAGCCCCGCGCCCGGCCTCGTCGCCCCTAGCCCGCGCTCGGCACCCGTCGACCCCTAGCCCCGCGCTCGGCCCCGTCCACCCCTAGCCCGCGCCCGGCCCGTCGACTCCTAGCCCGCGCTCGGCCCCACCCGTCGACCCCTAGCCCAGCGCCCGGCCCCGTCGCCCCTAGCCCGCGCTCGGCCCACGTCGACCCCTAGCCCCGCGCCCGACCCCCACCCCCCGTCGACCCCTAGCCCCGCGCCCGGCCCCGTTGACCCCTAGCCCGCGCGCCCGGCCCCGTTGGCCCCTAGGCCCCAGGCCCCTCGGCCCCTCGGCCCCTAGGCCCCAGGCCCCTCGGCCCCTTATCCTTACTGTCACTACTGCTGCTACTACTACTGCTGCTGCCACTGCTGCTTCTGCTGCTCCTGCCGACTGCATAGCTATGGCCTCGCTTCGGGTTCTCCCATTCGATCATGAGGGTAGACCGGTTCAGTTTGACACGTGGCTCGACGACCTGCAGTTGTACCTCCTGAGCGATATTAAGGACGGTGTTTCCCTGTTTGACCACGTGTCCGGTGCCGCTGCTGCCCCTCCCACCACAGCTGACAGTGCGACTCGCTCAAAGTGGCTTTCTCGCGACGCTGCTGCCCGCTTAGCCATTCGCAACCACCTGCCGTTAGCCGAATGCGCTCACTTTGGACAGCACAGGACCGCACAGGCACTGTACGACACTGTAGTCGCTCGCTACTCCTCCCCTGCCACTGCTGCTCTGGGCCGCCTGCTTCTGCCCTACCTGTTCCCCGACCTGTCCGCCTTCGCCACAGTCGAGGACCTAGTTTCCCACCTTCGCACTAGCGACGCTCGCTACCGTGTCATCGTCCCTGCTGAGTTCCTTGACAAGAACCAGCCCCCAATGTTCATCACCCTCTACTTCATAGTCACTCGCCTCCCT